CGTTGGCTACTTTTATGAAGTATCCAGAATGGAGAAGTAAACTAGGTTTCCTTTAAATAAAAAGCCACCCCCACCCCAAATAAATGGTTAAACCTGGATATATTTCTCTTTTTCATGAGCGTTTCCTCCTATGCTTGATGGGATTAGATTGAACAAGGACATGTTTGTTCATGGTCTGTTGTATCAGCATTAAAGAGAACGTTACAATAGGAAAATCCATGTTTGAAGTCCTTCATTCAATTTTTCTAGCAAGAACTTTTTCAATATTTTTTGCCTTTTTTCAAGTATGCTAATACTTTTCAAAACGCCTTTAAAGTGAAAAGAAAAACATGTAAAACAATTGCTCTATAACCTAGGGAAAGAATTGAAAATGAAACTGAGCAGGAAATGATACCCAAAGGTGATCTAAGAGCTTGGGTGTAAAGTTCCTCTTACCTTTCTTCTGCTAAGTTTAAAATAGAATAAAGAGATAGGAGTTACTCCATTTCCCCAGGAACACCTGATGTTTATTGCCCTGTGAAATAGGCTGAGCAAAGGAGTTACTCATGTCAAAACACTAATAATGCAACAGGCTGCATTTTGGATCTTAATTATCTGGACTTTCAATTAAATTTAATACCAAACTATTAGCCACGTTCCACCACAAAGAAAGAAGGAAATGTATCAAATTAGGCCCTGAGAAAAACCATGTTTTCCTTCCATGGCAAAACAGCTAGTTCCAACCAAAGAGACCAAATTAGCGAAACAACCAAAGCTGCCTGTTCCTTGGGAAAGCTACGTTCCCAACCTCTGAGTAAGAAGCGAACTCTTCATGTGCTTTTCTTCCAGGTAGCTCCTATTATTTCTGGAAAGTTAGTTGTTCATATAAAAAGTTAGTTGTTCATATACATAACCTTACTGTTTTCTTCAAAAGGACACATTTGGTGTATGTCTGTGTGTGTCTGTACACAGAATATTGTGGTATACACTGTATATACAGAAAAACTGACAGGGGGAGATAAACCTTCTGTTCTAATTCTGCATTGATGTTATTAAACTAGCCTGTTACTTTCCTCCCTCTCTGAGAAATGTCTAAAGATGAGAAAGAATTATAAGACTTATCTGATTTCGGTGCGAAAGGCCTGCAAGACCTGTCTTGAATTCATCCAAGTCCCATTAAAAACGTTCCAGCTAATAAACCATAATCAACCTTGTGCACAAGCAGCCTTCACAAGTTCAACTACTGTAGCAACTCCTACACACATTGTTTTTCAACATGGAATGGTTATTGAAAAAGTGGAAATCTGAGATGCACAACTATTGTTAGATTCTTGGCTACATTAAGATAACAAAAAATGTTCACTCCTATGTCATTTCATAGACCAATTATGGGACAACCATTTTTTGCCCTCAAGATAATCTTTTCTTTCAGATTCTTCATGCAATATTTATGTATGTCCATCATAGCATTTCAACATGTGAGCTGGTCCCTTCCATGTAGTATAAAACCCCCAGCAGTTGCCATATTGATTGATGTAAAAGACAGAATTGGCTGTTTTGTTATGTTGATACGATAGTACACTTTCTTCTAATACTTAAGCCCTTTGCATTAGGAAAACATAATATAAAAACCACAATACAGGCTGTCTTAGAGACACAGGAGCAACCTGCCAGAAACCAAACCTTAAACCAAACCCTCTTCCCTGAAACAAATAGAAAACCCATTGCCAATACTGCAAAACATCCTAGCCAGGTACTTTGTATGCAGTATTAATCAAACGAACGGATCAAAAAAATCTTCAGCTGTACAGTTGGTTTACAAAACACCTTGAATGATTCTTAACATACACAACTACTAAAATGCTTCTTACAACCTTTGAATGCCATACCTTAAAAAGGAGAATCTACTCTGAGAAGCTTCTATTAGATGAACATGGACATTGTCAAAACAACAAAATCTCATTCTACTCTTGCTGTTAGTCAGAAGCTAAGCAGTTTCAAGAATTTTGGCCTTCATGAACTTCCACTCCAAATTATTTTCCCCTTTTGAAACAATTGAGTCTTAGTCCCTTGTACAACAAACATCCATGACTATATCAAAAGAGGGTTAAATAAAATAAAATGTTAAACATCTTAGAACAATATTTTGGAATACATTTCATGACATGCAATTTTAATTTGTTACTTGGCATTATGAGATCAAAATCTTGTAAGAGTTTGAAAGGATTTATTTAATGACATACTAAAGAAAATGTTTGTGTTAAAGTTTTGTATGGATGCCAACCAACAAATAAGAAAGTTATTTGTTTTGAGCATTCAAAATGGAGCTAAACAACCTCTAAGTTGTGGTCACTTCCCTCAGTGTTCATCCAGGTGGTCTGCTGTATCTAATGTTGTGGTGGGGATGTTACATTTTTAAAAACAAATTAAAGATGATTTCCTTGAGAGCGAATTTGGTATAGTGGTTAAGGCATCAAGCTAGGAACTGAGAAACCATGAGTTTTAGCCCTGTTTTAGACACCAGTTTGTGGCTTTGGGCCAGTCCCTCTCTCTCAGCCCTAGAAAGCAGGCAATGCGGAGCCACTTCTGAAATCTTGCAAAGAAAATTATTTGTTAGATAGGAACAAAAGCCTCACTCAAAGGTTCTTATGTACGTGTCTGTCTATAAGAGGAAAGCAATAAGTAGAATCTCCATACAATTACAAAGAGAAATTCATCTCTTGGCTTTATTTTTATCCACTCTTATAAAGACATATAATAAATCTTAAAGGACTGATCTCAATACAAATATCCTTTTCTTTCTTTGCAATTAAACACAAAACCAACCTGTTCTTCACTATTTTAACTCTTCCTCAAAGGGCGACCTAATGCACTCTGTCTTTTGAGTAATAACCCCTAAAAGGCCCTTCTAACACGAGAAAAGTGGAACAGAGGGAAAAAACTGCACCCATACACACTATTTTTAAGAAAACAAAAACAAAGACAAAACAATGTTTGCAGAACTAATAAAGTGTTGTTTTAAAAAGGTGGGAATGTAAGCAAAGCACACTGCTATGGACACATATGGAAACACTTTCCCAACTTAAATCCTAAAGCTTAAGTGCTACCAAAATCAATATCCACACCACCAAAGTGCAACTTTCAGCGAAGTTTGCTAAGGAATGTGCAAGTAAACACTTAAAAGGAACAGGATAGATCTCTCAGTGTTTTACCACCAACTAATTACTTAAACTAAACGTCTTCTATTTGGTTTGTATCCAATTCAGTGCAAATATTATTTATTTAAAATTGATCTCTTTTTGGTCTTTACACAATCGTTGCATTTATCACCCCACCTTCAAAAGTTCTTACTTCCAACTCTTCAATTAATAAAGGAGAATATTTGTAGCTCAGGGGTGACATGAGGTGCTCTTGGTGCTCCCTGAATTTGCTCGTTTTCTTGCAGACGTCTCATTACCCAAACCAGGTAACATCATCAGGGCTAGTCCTACTTTTATCCATCACTAGTTCTTTATCCTATCCATCATCCATCCACTAGCACTGATGATGTTACCTAGTTTGGGTAATGAGACGTCTGAAAGAAAATGAGCAAGCTCAGAGAGCAATGAGGACCTCTCAATTCTTCCAATTGTTTACTTGATTTAAGACAAGGAATTTTGAAAGCTACAAAGAACTAACACTTTATGGAACCAAAAGAGAAGCCGGCACCTGGGCCTTGAGAAAGCTGGGCAGTATGGACATTGTTGAATAGATTGTGCACAGATACAACCAGATCCAGAGACGTTCTGAACAATCGGGGCTTCTGCCTTTTGCAATTGTGGTGATAAGCATACAACAACACATATGTTCTGACCAAGGCTTCCTGAGACAGTAACAATCACACGCTTAGTCCCAAAACCTTTTCTTAAAAAAATTATTTCAATGGCTGTGAATTATATGAATTCACAGCCTGTAATGAGTCCCAAACAGTTTGTAAATAGTCCAACAGATGTTCTGCCACATTCCTTCAGGATAAGGCTGATAAGCACCCACCTTTATCTTCCTTGAAAGGCTGCCAATGACTAAGCTGCCCATTAGCTGTACAAGGCCAAACGGAGCACAAAGTCAACACAGAGCTTCAGAGTTTAAATCGACCAGAATGAACAAAGTTGCTTCCTGCAAAGACTCGTGTCCCTTTGCTCCTCCTTTATGTCTTATGGGAGAGGCCAATCATCTCCAAGCCTTACTCCCGAGTTGCCCCTTTGGTCTTAACTGTTCTTGCCTTCTGGCAGCTCTGTGCAAGCGCACACTGGGAACAGGCTCCTCTTGTTCATCTGCCTCGCTGATGCCAGATTCTGGAGGATCCGGAGTCAGCACATAATTCCCAGATGGTCCTGGCCCCATCTCTGTGTCAGACACAGATCCCTCGTTTGAGCCCTCCCCAGACTCCAGGACTGGCCCATGTTCCTCCCCACTATCTGACTCTGCTGCCAGCTCCGCAGGCTGCTGGTGGATCACAACAACATATGTATACTTGCTCTTTCTGTCCCTATCAGTCTACACTTGGGGACCTCATGGCAGAACACAATTAAGGTTGCTAGTTTCTGGGAAAGATCTGTTCATATTTTAATCTTGTATTTTATGTTCAATGTCATACAGTATGCCATATTTTAATGGTGAGTCTTCTGACCCAAATAAACAAACCAACGGGAGATATCAATATATACTATGGTTAGATGACGCCATTTAACACAAATAAATTAATTTCTTAATAATAATAATTAATTATTAATTAATAATTAATTTCTGCAGAAATTAATAATTTCTGCAGAAAAATTGTCTTTGTGCCTTTCGATTGTTTGCAAGTCAAACCCCCAAGTCTCTCATACAAATATATATATTTTTCTTTCAAAGAATGAAATTCACATTTACAGCCCTACTTGCTGGATGTACAAGCAAACATTACACTGCACTGCTTTCTTCAATAAATAACCCATGTGGACTTGCTTTCTATATTTAAAATTAATTAAAAATAAACTTACAGTCTCTCCAACTCTTTTAAGTCTTGAAATGCTCCTCTCTCAATTGTAGTAATCTTGTTTTCCATGAGTTGACTGAAATGCAGAATAAAATGCTTTGAAACTCCAGTAATCAAACAGTGATTAGCACCAATTATTACAATACTTGGCAGTGGATACTCTTACAGTCACCTCTTCTTATTAACTCTGCAGTTCTCACTCTATTCTTAACTTTCCATCCAATTTAATGTGTTAAGCCTGTCACATGATATTGTCACTTAAGAGCAGGGCTCTCCAACCTTAGCAACTTTAAGCCTGAAGGACGTCAACTCCCAGAATTCCCCAGCCAGCTGGGGAATGACTTAGAGAGAAACTAAACTTTCTATTCTTTGAGGGGGTGGGAGAGAGATCTTAAGCCTGTTTAAGAAGCTCAGGGTCAGAAGTGAGGAAAAAATATGCCTTAACGACAAAAAGGCAAATCTACTGTTTAACGACAAAATGTAGAAATATGTACCAAGCCAAATCCATGAAGCTCTTCTTTAATAAAAGTACATTGTAAAAACACAAAGAATGTTTTATTTTACAGCAGGAAGACTCACAGGAACAATGTCTCTTCAAAGTTTGAAACTTTTCATCCACAGAAGGATGGATCAAAATTGGACAGATTAGTTACAGTTAAGCCCTAGCGCAGAACAATTTTCTGTTACTAGTGAGAATTATTCTTCGCTGCAGATCATGTACACAGACACAATCCCAACACATACACAACCCTCCCCCCAAATGTATCACCTAAAGAAGGAGTTGTTCAAGAGCCCAATAACTAGTTTCAAATGTAATTTGAAACAGAAAATAATCTATGGCTACTCTTTGCTGAATTTCATCATGTTAAATTTATTTACTTACTTAAGTTATTCCAAACGCTCAACATATTTTTTTAAAAAAAATACTTTCTGATTCGTTAGTTTTGCAAAATATTCTGTTCCATGTAGATTTCCAAATCACATTCATTTTTGAAATTTCACATATTTTGCAATATTTATAACTACAAGGAGTAATATAAAATCACAAGTGGTTACAATCCAGACTTCTATTATGGCAGCCTTCCAAACATTTAAGTACTCTTATAACTGCTTTTTCTTCTCCAATATAGCTGCTGTTATTTGAGACGTTAATTAATTTTTTTAAAAGAATCCTATTCATTGGAAAAAACGTATTTTGCATAGGACTGAAGTTCAGTAATAAAATTCAAGAAAAACTTACAGAACACGAAGATGCCTCAGACCAGCAAAATCCGTTCTTGTGATCCTTGTGATATTATTTCCATTAAGATCCCTAAGAAAAACATATTAGCAGTAAAATTAGACAACCCATAAACATTAGCCATGCTTCTTAATTTTTCGAATAAGCTAGAAATGGTTTCTGGCAGTATCTGAAGATTAATACTGATGCTAATTTTTGCAAACGTTCATGAAAAGTTTAAGTTGCAATTATCTAAAAAAACAAACCTAAATGTAATAGGATAAATTTTGCTTTGGTCTCATTTACTGAAAAACAGTAATCCCAAGGACTATTCTCATTCATTTGGCTTCTCGTGACATGACTAGTTACAATTATTAACTTTTGTTTATGTTTCTGCAGAGTTGTTTTCTTACATGAATAGTCTGATGATTATGTAACAATTTTTTAAAAAACACACCAAGATGTGTTTCTACTGATAGGATTGGGGGAATTTCAGGATACAGAGAAAGCAGAGGAGTTCTGATCATGTGTCAGGACATCTATCTAGCTGTGATATAGTGAGTTTTCTCCTGTTCGAAACAAGGAGGGAGAATAAGAGGCCAAAGAAGAGGAGAATGGAATAAAGCAGCATAGAAGCTTCCTCCCAACTCAAGGCTTTTTTCAAAACAACTTAAATGTCCCTTTTATGTATATAAAAAATGAACACCTACACTGTTAAACTAATACTTCTACTGATTGAGGTAAAATGACACAGTTTTAATAGCAATGAACTTTTGCTGCCCAAGTTAAGTCTTAGAAAATTTGCTGAAACTGTAATATACAAACAGAATTGAACAATTGTGGAAAAAGTTTTTCTTTTGTGGGCCAAAATTCATCTCAGCCTATGTTGTCGGTAATAAATGAAATGGTCCCATCCTTTGGGGGTGCATTATTGACAATTAACTTTATATGGAAAGTAATCTTGAAATTTATGGAATATTGTTTAAGAAAGGGAAACGGGATAATTAACACCCTCCTTTAAGTTGGTAGAAGCCAGAAGTGTTTCTAAAGACCAAATCAGGGACAGGTTGTTGTTTTTTCTCACCAGAGTTTATGAGTCACTTTTAGGTTTTCCTTCTCACTCCCTGAAAAACAATTTTTCACCTATTTCCAATTTTTTCCCCAGCTGCTTAAATAAAAATCTGCAAAAGCAATAGAACTCAACGCCCTTTTCATAATGGAACAGAATTTTTCAGAGCCCACTCCAGATAATCTTTTCTCCATCTTTCCTCTCAATTTGGAATCATAATCTTTGTTCGGAGAGGAACAGGGACGGAGTTAGAGCAGTGACGAATTTAAAATATTAAAAACAATTTAACATTTCAGCTACATCTCTTCTGAAAACAAGCCTTCCTCACTTCAAAGCCAACCTTACTGGCCGACTAAGAAAGAATCTCAACTGGTTTTGAAGAAGCAAATTTTCCATTTCCCCCTTTTTTTATTGGGAGGGGGAGCCGCCTCCTTGCCAGATTAAACATCTATCTATCTATCTATCTATCTATCTATCTATCTATCTATCT